GCGGCTGGGTCTGTCGCGCTTCCCGACAGTTTTCCTTATCTTTTCTCTAACAACTCAGAGCAGCTTCTCAAAGAGCACGGTAAATCGTTCTTCCACAACTTAGCGTACATGGCCCTCACGCAATCGCAAGCGCGGAAGCTTTCGCAGGAGCTTGATCTTGTTCAATGCTGTGAACCTTCAAGTGACCTTGGCGGTGAGTCGACGGTACCTCAGAGAGGAAATTTTCCGCGTGAGTCATGTGAGCAGTCACTCGAGCGGCCCTTCGCCGAAGCGACCGGCGTGGTTTCCGTAGCAGGGGGAGACGACATGGTGCCATTGAATCAGAGCGAGAGGGCTGCAACGCTCTCGCCTGTAGCGGAAAGTTGGAGTGAGCTGTCGAGGGTTGATCGAGCAACGCTCATTCGAGAGCAGCGTGAGGACCTCTCGATTAAAGCGCTAATGGAAAGTGTAAGCTTGGGAAAAATGAAATAGAATGTTTCTTTTTTTGAAAAAGCAGGGCTTTTGTATCAGAGCTACACAAATGCGCAAGGTCGCAAGTATGAGCAGCTCTTGGTGCCAGAAAAGTATCGTCGCCAACTATTGGAACTGGCGCATGAAAACGCATGGGCAGGGCATCTCGGCATAAAAGAGACCAAGGCTAGAGTTTCCCTTGAGTTTTATTGGCCGAAATGCTGGAAGGATATCGAAGAATTTGTACGCTCATGCGACACTTGTCAGAGAGCGGGGAAATCCACGGACAAGTGGAAGGCACTCATGAAGCTTTCTGACACCAATGATGAAGTGAAATTAGGAAGGCGGCCAAACAAAATTTACAACTTGATGAAACCATACGTTCTACGTCACGCGGTCGTAAATCTGCTGTTGAATGCTTCAGAGGAAGAGGGAGCAAAAATTTTGAGTTCTAGTGATGTAATCAAAAGGGGATCGGAGGTAACCTTGGAGCAGTTAAACCTAGAGCCTAGGTTAAGTGAAGTCCAGAAGAAGGAGCTGAGAAGGAATGTTCCTTTTTATGAGAAATCTGGACTCCCCTATTGTAGTTACACAAATGTGCGACGTCGCAAGTACGAGCAGCCCTTAGTACCGCATAAGTATCGTCGCCTAAAAGTGGCCGGTTACTGAGATGGAGCATGATGCTCCAACAGCTCAACTTAGACGTTCGCTAAAAAAAAGGAAAGCTAAATGCTAATGCGGACGCATTGAGCCGTGCGTTTATTTGGTACCTTCTCCACCTTTCGGTTTCTCGCTGGCGATTCGGGGCAAAATTTTGTCCTCATCACGGCCTTAGCTGAGCGCTCTCGTTCAGAATGAGCTCAAGGAGCCAACTTTATGTTCTATTCTATTTCGTCAAGTTATTTTGCGTGTAAAAATTTGAGTTGTCATTTTAAGAGTCTTGTGTCCCACATGTGCCTCTTGATGTAGAGGGAACAAAATTCCGATGGACATGTAGCTAGGTATATGTTGTACTATACTTTGTCTGGTGTTCTGTCGGGTGACCGAGGGCACTTGCTTGTGTCGTGTGTTGTATGTTGTCGAACGGTTCTTGACAAGTTGCAGAACCATCGACAAGTGCTGAAACCAAGGATCGTCAGAAGAAACGAGCGAAGCTGGCCGGCAAGTTGTGGCGACAAGTCAGTGGAGCTGTGATTCGTCCTCAAGAATGGGATGTGTTCCCGGAACGAAGCCTGAAGCTGCATTCTCTTCATGGCCCTGGAGACAAACCTGGAGGGACCTGGCGAACGAGCACGCCTGACATCCGAGCCACGTGGAAGCAGCTCGTCTTTCCGGCGCATTGTCTGGCGGCGGGGGTGCTGTTATGCCTGCGAGTCCGCAGCGAACGTCCATGCCTCGGAAAAAGGGAATCTGTGTCAAGGCCAGCACGCGAGCCCGCCTGACGCGATGAACGCTGTCAACACGCGACGGCGCCTTTCTGGCGCGCACGTGCAGTGAGTCACTCGAGCAGCCCGTCGAGCCAGCAACCGGCGCCTTCCTGTCTGGCGGGTCTGACGCAATGCCTGGCGACGTCACTCGTCCTTGGGTGCAGCCACATGCAGCGCAGCCTCTCCAGATTCGATGAGAAAGAATGACGCGGCCCAGCGGCGACCCCCATTGGAGGAGTCTGACCTCACGATCAGCGGCGCTTTTGATTGGACATTTGGGTTGGACCCGGTGCATATAAAAGAAGCCCTGCGGCGCGTCGCGAGCAGCAGACCTGTTGGAGAGCAGAGATGTGTGTTAGAGAATAGAGCTATGTGATAGAGAGTTGAGCTGTGTGTCAGAGAAGAGAGCTATGTGATAGAGAGTTGAGCTGTGTGTCAGAGAAGAGAGCTATGTGATAGAGAGTTGAGCTATGTGTTAGCAGACCCATTTGAGAGCAGACCTATGTGTTAGGGAGGAGAGCTCGGCTCTTCGGGTCTCTAAGCTGTCGGCCCCAGTGTCGAATTTGTAATGCCTCTGTATATATCCTGTACATAAACCTTCTTTAGCTCACCGTCGTCTCGTCCGCTCGTCTATCAGCTCTGCGCAGAAGCAGTCGCGAGCTGAGAAACCTACGCTACCAAACGGATGGTGACCTTCCCGGCGGAGTTCGAAGCAGTGGCGTCTTCGGGACCGTGTTGGCGTCGCCGTATTTTGAAACAGTGGTTGCAGCGGTGAGATTCGTAGCGCCCTTCGTAACGTCATCGGAGGTGTGCTTTCGCAACAATACACACGAGAAACTGCCACTCATGCACGCTGTAGTTAAAAATTTCGACGAATGTACTTCGGTTTACTCCCACAAAATTGATCCAGGCGCAGCCACTTTCAGCGTGCCTCATAAGTCATTAAAATATCTGGGATTTTGGCGTCCCGAAACCGCAATAATGTTACGAGTAACTTGTTTAATGATCTATTTACAGCGCACAGAACTCGACGAGTAAGATGGCGCCAGACCAGCATCCAACGAAAACTGACTTCGTCCTCCTCTTTCATGCAGCCGTGTTTAGCGGCTGATTTGTATCATAACCCCCGGCGGTTATGACGCTCTTCATGACGCTCCCATAACGGGCCATTTGGGCGTTTCTCGCACGTACGATCGAGTACGACGTCGGTTTTTTTTGGCCTGGACTTGCCCGCTCTGTTCGACGCTATGTCGCCGCTTGTGAGCCCTGTCAGCGTCGCAAAACGCCGTCTGCCCTCCCAGCCGGCTACCTTCAGCCGATCTACGTTCCCAACGAGCCTTTCTTTCGAGTTGGTCTCGACCTGTTGGGCCCTTTTCCACTCTCTGCAGACGGAAATAAATAGATTGCTGTTGCCACGGACTACGCGACGTGGTACGCAATGACACGAGCACTCCCGACCAGCTGCACTACCGACGTTGCGGACTTTCTCCTGTACGACATAATGTTAGTGCACGGTGCTCCCCGTCAACTTCTCACCGACCGTGGCCGCACGTTCTTATCAGCTGTCGTTCATGAAATCCTGAGGTCTTGCCATACCAAGCACAAATTTACTACTTCGTACCATCCCCAGTCAAATGGCCTCACGGAGCGCCTTAACAGGACCCTAACCGATATGCTTGCCAAATACGTTGCGCCAGACCACCATGATTGGGACATTCATTTGCCGTATGTGACGTTCGCCTACAATTCATCTCGTCACAACACTGCCGGATATTCGCCCTTCTATCTACTATATGGCCGGGAGCCAACTTTACCTTTAGACACGTTACTACCTGCGGCCACTGAATATGCTGGGGAAGCCATTGCCCGAGCCGACCACGCGCGCCAAGTCGCCCGTAACCGTCTACAGGCATCACAGGCGCGCCAACAACAGCTCTACAATTCTCACCATAGGGACGTGCACTTTTCTCCGGGTTCTCTCGTGCTCCTCTGGTCACCTACTCGGCGTGTGGGTTTGTCTGAAAAACTGTTGTCGCCCTACACTGGACCATTCCGTATTGTTCGCCAAGTGACAGACGTCACGTACGAGATTGTTCCAACTGATCCAACAAAGTCATCGTCAGCTCTGAGCGACATTGTTCACGTGGCTCGGCTAAAGCCCTATTACCCCCCTTCGACATCATCTGCGTAAATTTAGCACCGGGACGGTGCTTCTACCACCGGGGGTTATGATACAAAACAGCCGCTAAACATGGCTGCATGAAAGAGGAGGACGAAGTCAGTTTTCATTGGATGCTGGTCTGGCGCCATCTTACTCGTCGAGTTCTGTGCGCTGTAAATAGATCATTAAACAAGTTACTCGTAACATTATGACTATGATGGACGCCGTAGTGGAGGACTTCGGAAATCTCGACCGCCTGGCGTTCTTTAACGTGCACCGTCGTAGTACAGTACATGGTCCTCTAAAATATCGCCTCCGTCAAAATGCCCCGGTCACTGCCGGGATTTAATTCATGGCAGTCCGGTCAGCAGCCGAACACCCTATATAGCCACTGTACCACCGAGACGGACCACCATCGTAAGTGGATTAATCGGGGCACGTAAAAGAGCCCATAATTTAATTAACTCGGAACGTGCGCCAACACTCGTAATCAGTGCTCATCGCGAATCTGACGGCGGTCTTGCAGCGATATGCTCGACAATGTATTTGTTTTCCCTAAAGTCAAAAGCAGGCTTTCTCTGCGCAAGTGGAGAAAAATTATTCCCACACCCGGAGTGCATTTTTAAAATCCTGCGTAAACGTAGCGCTCTCGCGGATTTCTGTATTTCACATCGGTAAAACTTAGGCGACACCGCCAACTATACGCAGTTGCTGTCGAAGAACACGAGGAAAGCTTCACGAACATTCCATGCTCGGCCGCAGCATGCTGACGGGACTTTTTTTTTTCTTTAGATTTTCTTTTCTACATCGCCAGTCGCGCTGATCGCTGTGATAACAACGGCGTCTTGGCGCACAGCGACAGTGACGTAATGACAAGATCGACCAATGCGCGAGTAAAGAAAATTTTCCGCGCATATCGACGCATGCACGACACATCATGAAATCACGATTTTCGCGGTCGGAGAGCGGATTTCCGCTGTCTGGAACCGCCATTTTGCTTTATTCTCTTTACTTTGATGGTTGCTGTGCCTTACTGCTCAGCTCTGCGTCGATTTGCTGTTATTTTGATGCTTTATTCACGCATTGACGGTGACTGTGCTTAACAACTAGGTGCCCGTCTTATCCTACGTATTGTGTGCGGACTCGAGAAGAACTGGCTTCAGTCTCTGGACATTGAAAATGGTGGGAACGTTTCGAAAAACTTCGTGCCTATCAAGCCTTCGGACAATGCCGCATACAATGTGCTCCGCTTGCTAGCAAGACTGTTCATTGCTCGTCATGTGCAAAAGTGAATGTGAAATGGCCATGGGCATTTATTTCGACCCTCGAGGTGTTCCTGCACGACAACTGTCGCCAGCCACGCAAGCTTCTGAAATACGTGCAACGCTCGGTGAATGCGCCGAACCTGGGCTCGTTGACGAAGTTCCCGTACAGATAACGCTAATGGTGCTCCATTGAAGCCAGTGAATTGAACTTACAAAACGCAAGTCATGCCTGCCGCAGACACATTTTTCGTTGTGCGTGTTTACCAACCATCAGCGTCGACTGGACAAGTAACTTGGATTCATGGTGGACATCTTTCCAAAAACCAGTGGGGCCACCCTCCTACAAGGAGTGCTTGGTCATGGGTCAACAAGCAAGATGGGGAGTCTCCGAGCTCGCGAGGGTGGTACGCAGCTTAGAAAGCCTGTCAATTGATGAGTATATCGAATTGGTACGCGCCAGACGTCTTGGGTACGCACGCGAAAATTTAGGAGATTAGCTGCATCGTAAAATTAAGCCCGAATCATTTTTGGGCAGGCTGCGCGGCCATGAGTCAGGGGTTTGCCGTGACGGAATACGAGAGGACGGGCCGGGTCGCTGGTGCGGCGACGAATAGAGCTTCAGGTTTAGCCCGCAGTTAGCTAACACGTGGAAGCGTAGCTTGATAGCGGTCTTCTTTCGATTTCGTCAGATACATTTGCCCGTTCCGAATGACGTTGCGACCTCAATCACTATTTCATAATTACGTTGTGCATGTGCGGTACAAGATAAAGTGACGTGTGGTTTTATATGGAATGTGGTTCTGAGGAAGCAAATGGCATGCGGAATAGCCTCGTTAGCTCGATAGCTTTAATGCTGCGGAACCTCTTCAGGTTGCAGATCAGCGCTTCCGTCTGCAACCAATGTCAGTGGTGTTCAACCTTTTATCTTTATGAGCGTGTGTGGACAGTCTGTTTGCCATTGCTGTGATACGCACTTCGCTCACCTCGTCGGACGTGGCGACGGCTTTTCTTGACTTGCCTGAAGACGGTCCGCGTACGCTTGCGAACCTCATATCATGCACGGTGAGTGCACCAGCTGTTCCTACATTCGTGTTTTTAAACAGTACATCTTGAACGTTTCAGATGACTGGCCGCTGCGGGCTGCTATACATCGACGTTGGACTACGGCAATGATATGCGAACACCATCACGTGAATCCATCGTTGGGACACTGCAAGTGGAATGACAGAGCGGTTCCGGGCCAACGAGATTGCAGTTTTGGTGTCTAACCATTGCCCTCACTTTTGGCGGCCGACTGTCGAAGTCACCCCGGGTCTTATCTGTGAGAGAATCGCAGAGGACGGGGTACGGGTTGGGCGTCGCACCGTGCATGTCCTCCTACGATCTAGTCACGGACATTGAACCCGTTTCGAATGGCTTTGTGAAGCGACCACTATTTCGCGTCGAGTAGCCCGTGCGCTCGAGTGAAATGTGGTTTCGCGGAAGCAAATGGCATCCGGAATTCCCTCGTCAGCGTGTTATGTAACCGCACAGGAAAACTGCTTCCTTCAGCGCAATGTCATTACTGTCATTGTTGTTTTACCTGGTAGCTTTGTTTCTAATGATACGTTTTATTCACGGTGCCATGCTTACTGTGCACTTTTGAGGATTATTTCCAGGGTTTGTTCGAGTCCCGCTGATTGTGCACAGGTTCATGGACATCGCAGCACACTACTATGGAATATGGTGAGTTCCTAAACTTCTTTCCATTTCTGTTGGTCAACAAGTGGCTTTTGTATGCAGACACACCCCGGCCTGCAGATGTCTCTTTTCCGAGTGGGCTGAACATCGAAGACCAGCCGTAGACCACGAGAAAGTTGCGGTAAACACTACTCCGTATTCAACTGCTGTTACATCTGTCAGCAGGGGAGACCAATAAGCGTCATGTTTTTATCTTTACGTACTGACAACTCCCGCCGCGCTTGTGCTTACATGTGCTTAAAAATTCCGCCATTTCTCGTTGCAGCTTTACTGTCTCTGGTTTTAATTGCTACCCGTGACTAGGACATGGAGCTTACTCCTGCTGCAGACTGCCTTCAAGGCGATCACCTGGGACATCAGTCGTAGTATGGCCGAACCTCTTGGCACCTTCACACTGCGTCGCTTATTCATTCAATCAATCAATCAATCAATCAATCAATCAATCAATCAATCAATCGTTCATTTTATTACCTCAAAGGTCTCGGTTGGGATATTACATGAGGGAGAGGGCATTACAAAGGCTAGTAATGGTAGTAATGATGGGATAGTTTCCATGGGCCGTTTAAATGCTTGGGTGTCGATGATGGTGGTGACTTCGGTGGGCAGGTCATTCCAGTCTTGGGCTGTGCGCAGGAAAAACGATTGCTGAAAGGTCACAGTATGGGCTTGTGGTGGATATACTGCGTTACAGTGACTGATGCGGGAAATGCGGGGGGCTCTTCTGATGTATGGGTTATCTAAAGGCAAAGAATGGAAGAATTTATGATACAGGTTAAGACGTGCGATTTCACGGCGCTTAGCCAGATCGGATAAGTTAATCTCTGCTTTTAGTGCGGAGATGCTTGATGTGTATGAATAGTTAGACAGTATAAACCGTGCCGCACGGTTCTGGACTGATTCGAGAGCGTAAGTGAGTTTATTGTAGTGAGGGTCAAAAATCGCGTTAGCGTAATCGATAGCGTAATCGTGGCAGACGGCACGTTGCTGCTACCCTTGGAATTATGTTGGTGAGGGCCACACTCGTAAGACTCCTACTGCGGGTGTACTTGCTCGTGCTTAACAGTTCTGCCACGTGTTCTCACAGGTTCGTCGTGTCGGCCTTTCATTGCTACCCTTGACAAGCCCATGGAGATGACTTCTGCTGACTGTTTCCAAGGCTATCCGTTCCTGAGATTACCTGCGACGCCACTCCACGTATGGCCAGACATTTTGGCACCTTCCAACTGCTTCGCTGATGGCGTGAACCTGGCAACCGACACATCGCAGCTACCCTTGAAATTTGCTTGGTAAATGCCTCATTCATATGACTCTGACTACGACTCTGTTTACATGTACTTAACGTTGCTGCTGCGTCTTCTTGCAGCTTCCTCGTGGTGGTATTTCATTGCTACACCTGACAAGTACACGGAGACGACTCCTGCAGGCTGCTTCCAAGGCTCTCCGTTCCTGAGATCACCTGTCACATCAGTCGTCGTATGGCTGAACCTTTTGGCACCTTCGCCCTCCTTCGCTGAAGACGACATCCACACTTCGGCTACCTTTGCGAAAGGTAATTAGTCTCAATTTTTTATCGTACCTCTATTTTTGACTATTGCGGTGCGGGATGTTACCCTTGGCTTTGCCTTGAAATCCACATGCATTACCTGAGATTGATAGAATTCGATTGCACAGATTATCTGCTTTTATAAATGTTTATTGAAAACGATTACAAGCTCGTATGCTTACAGGGTCATTGGAAAATTTCCAGCGTTTGTTGGGTAGTTCCAACTGCACTCCCGACACTCTAACGTTGCCTTACCGATGTCTTTTTGGATTAAGACCTGAGTTTATTGAACAAAAACAAATTTAGTCGCTTTGCCTCATTCCTTCGGCAGTTTCTTATTGACGAAGGTTTATATTAAACATACACGTCAGCATTGCTTATTATTGTTGCTTGCTTCCTTTACCCTATTATTCCAAGCTCTTAAATAATGACGCTTATCTATTCACTAGATAACGTAATAGCAGAAGACATGCAATCAAAGGAACATCGTGGACAGGGCAACAAGAAAGTCATCTTATACTCTGTTCTCGTGGGTGTGATTATCAACTTTGCCACGCAAAACTCACGGGCTGTTTGCAGCTTGTTTTCGGCAATATAGTTTCACGGCGTCATCGGGTACGTGTGTAAACGAGGCAGCCATGTTTTCAAGAGCTAACAACGGCCAAAGTATCTATAAATTTGCCTTCGCACTGCCACACGTGTAGGTGCAAGCCCTTGTTCAATGAAACGACAGTGCTCTTCAAACATAGCGATCAGATCACAAGAGATCTATTGTAAGCATTTTATATAAAAAAAGGAGGGAGTCTGCGTTAGTCGGACGTCAATATCTTTACATGAAAAAAAAAAGAAATCCTAATCAGTAGCATGTTTGTTTTAATGAAATATGTCGCGCCTGCGCAGTTACACGTAGCGTAAAATTGTTAATGAAGTCGACACGGTCCTTCGCCGGCCCGTCTGCGCATGTTCTGTCCGTATTTATCTTATGTGTTCAGATAATTTATATATTTCGATAAGTTCTTCAGTTGAGAGTCGGCGCTTGTTTGTGTCTCTTCTCTTCGTCCTGTGAGTTTGTGCGCTGTTACTGCCCATTATGTATCACCAATTAGCCCAATTATCAGTCCTGCCAAAGTATCTGCTTGTTCCAGAGAACGTTACGTCTGAACAAGCTGCGCGATATCCTTGAGTTTCACGTGCTAAATATTCTAGTGTGATCTAAATATATAGGTGATGTTAACCTAACCAGCTTTCCTTATATACAAAGTATTTAGGATCTAAAACCTTGTAGCCTTATTCTGTCCTTCCCCCAGCTACGCGAGACCTTCCTACGTATGCCAGTCTCAACGCACAACTCGACAGTAATCTACGAGATCACCATCAGTGAACTACAAGCTTGCTATAAGTAAATTTGACAGATTGATAACTATTTGCAGGAAAAGTGCGAATAAACTCGAAAAGACGTGTCAAGCGACTAAAATTCTACAAACAACTAGAGAGAAGAAAGAAGCCTAAATATACTTAAAATGATAGCACTGGCAACTCTATGTCGGTGAAGAGAGAGAGAACAGGAAGATCGATGTGTTAACCAGACATTAGCATCCCTTTTGGGAACGTTTCATGCAGTCGACTTTTTTTTGTGTGTGTAGTCCCTGACAAAAAGACGAGTCCGCTTGCAGAAACACAGGCTGCAGGGGCACTTCTTTCTCGCTTTTTTTTCGCATCAAACGCAGAAATTGTAAAGATCAATGGCTTTCAAATAACTTGAAGTATACTAACTCTCGTGTGCAGCGCCGTTTAGTCAGACGTCGCGGCCAGCAGTCAGGGTCGCAACTCCTGAGGTTCAGGGTCAGGCCCCGGCTCACGAGGACCACGCCCGGTAGGCCTCGCCCACGAACCTGCTTCCGGCCACTGCACCCAGGCAGGAGCCGTTCAGCAGGCCCCGTCCTTGCACCTTGTACAGGCCGGCGGACTCGACCCCGAACAAACACGCCGGAGCTCGACCTGGCCGACACGTACGGGTCTTACGTCCGGCTCAAGAACGCTCCCAGGAACTCGTCCTCTCGAGCGGCGCACTGCTTCCTCTGCCTTCCTGGCCTCCACCCTCGAGCTCTTTTCCGCACGTTTCTCGGTACTGCTCGGCACCGCTGGCGATCCTCGATTCAGCCAGCAACTCCCCTGGCCCCTCAATCCTCGGCCACCCTGGACCTCGCCCGGCTCCGTGGTCCTCCGTGCACACGCCCGCGTCTCGCCCGGCAGAACGTCTCGCTCGTCCCTTGCCGATGTGCGACACTCTGGTGACACCGGCGCTTGATGGCATGGGTGCGACTACTGAGCAGTCAACCGGCATCGGAGACGCGATGCTCCATGCGGGGAATGGCCAGCCCGTCCAGCGAAGAGCGTGCGCCGAGACGCGATGCCCGACGCAACCGTGACCATTAGCCAGGCCACGTTCATCGCTGTGTCGAACGGCTGACCGTGGAGACGCCTCGCCGAGATCCGCGATGCCCTCGGCAAGGAAGAGAACAGCAGGCCAGGCCGCGCCCCGAGATGCAGTACTCGTGCCGGCAATGCCGCCCCAGCTGGTAGTTGGACGACAGTAGCGTGGACAGCCGCGTTCCCTGGCCGGAACCTGGATCGCCTGCGTCCGACGCCTCGGCCCGCTGTCTCCCGTCTGCCGCTGCTTCGGCTCGTCCCCAGCCACAAAGCCCACTGCCACGTGATGGTCGCCCGTGGCCCAATCGTGGCACGCCACCTCTATGGGCCACCACAGGTCATCAGCTGATTCGCTGACACTCACGCGCACATTAAACGCGCCTTGCCCCGCACTTCCGTCGTTGTCGTTTTCTTCACTCATCACACCAGATATTAGCATCCCTTTTGGGAACGTTTCATGCAGTCGACTTTTTTTGTGTGTGTATTCCCTGACAAAAGACAAGTCCGCTTGCAGAAACACAGGCTGCAGGGGCACTTCTTTCTCGCTTTTTTTTCGCATCAAACGCAGAAATTGTAAAGATCAACTGCTTTCAAATAACTTGAAATATACTAACTCTCGTCTCACGTGTCATTTCAGGATCTCCACCTGTGTTCTCGCTTTTGAGGCGCCGCAGAAGATTGCTCCAGCCCACTCTTGACATCGGTAACGTCCATGACATCACCCCAAAATCGACGACTGCTCGTTCTACCGGAAACTCCCGGCCGTTCAATTCTTCGTACGCTTCCAAGCCTTTGTTGGAGGTTCCTGCACTGTCTTCGCAGCGTGTGGGTGTTCTCCGGAAAGACTGCAGTCGCCTTCACTAAAGGCTCTACTGAATCTAGTGCGGTATATTTTGTAACATGAGTAGGAAATGATGTAAATAATCTAAAGACGCAAGTTTCCCTATATTATCGCAGCCAAAGGATGGTACATCTAGCCGTTTCAAGGGAGCCCAAGAGTAAAAATGAAAAAAAAATGTCGCGTCATTTGTAAACGTTTTATGATGGGGATAAGCATATCTATTTACATTCTGTGCTTTCGTAGAGTTAGGAGGTGGGATTACGTGCACGCATGTTCGCACACACTTTCGTTTGCTCACAATTAACGTTCCAGTCGGCAGGTTATTTCTGGTCTTGTTGCGTTCTGAATGGGTCGTATTCACTTTTTACTACAGCTTGTTCCACGATGTCGTTTTCTTACGGAGAGTGCCAGCAACGACCATAATTCGTTGATGGACCAATGATATGTATTGTGGAGCATCTTTCAGAGCTATTTGAGCTATTTTTTATGTCGGTCATACTGGTTGACGTAGGAAGCTTAAATGACTGTTCTTTCTTGTCCACTGACATACTCCTAGAAAGTTGTTGGAAAATTTTTGTCTTTAGCCCAAGGTTGATCTTGGAGTGTTTTCATTCATGGAACTGATTTGTTAAAATTTCGTTATCAGTGGATGCCCGTCTGGCCTTTTCTAGAAATACGAATTTGGGAAACTCCAATCCTTGAACTAATTTGCAGAGAATTCGTCGTGTCTCATCAGTAGCAGGCTGTTTGGCTTCGTCTCAGGGTTGGAGCTTTGGTCTTTCATTTGTTCAACTTATTCCCAATATTCGTCATGCCGCATCAGTATAGAAGCCCATTCGGCATTGTACAGAGTTTTAAACAAGGGCCTTTCATTTCATCGCACCTATTTACGCAAGACTCATCGAGTCGAATCAGTAGAAGCCCGTTTGAGTTTGTCCCGAGGTTAGAACTCTGATTTTTCATTTACTTAATCAAATGGAACTCATGTCGAATTGGTAGAAATCCATTCGGCTTTGTACCGAGATAAAATCAGGGCCTTTCATTTATCGCACTTGTTTCTGAAGCTTTCATCATTTTGAATCGGTAGAAGCACGTTTGGCTTTGTCCCGAGGTTTGAAATCGGACCTGTCGTTCGTTGAAATTATTGGCGCGTAATTCATCGTGTCGCATTGTTTCATACGAGGTTAAAAGTCTGAATGGTTTGTCTCGATGTTCTTTCAAGCAATGAACAGATTTCTTGGAGTATCTCAATGTGCGGAAGCGTTAGAAGCACCTATATGGCGCTCGCTAGAGAGTTGATTGCAGTGCGGTTGTTTCATTCATTCAAAGAGATTGCTCCAAAACGTTTTCTTGCTAAAAACAATAGTTTCATATATTTTCTATGTTCTCACACATTTTAGGATTGTGGCCGCAAACTCGTTGACATTTAAGCGGCAAGTAGTTTATCGTTACGTCATTTCAGTACGGCACCCAGAGTGATCAATAGTTTTAAATGACATTCGCATTGGAATCGGTTACTGCGCTTATTTATTTGTCTGTGGGTTTATCTCAGAGTAAATGCTCGACCCATATTGAACGATATTTTCTATAAAAATCCTCAACTTAAGTACTCGTTATGTGTTTCCAAGGGGTCAATATCAAGCATGTCTTATCCATATCAACTTCCTCTGGACGGGCTCAAAGTTTTCACACACGAATGGTCTCGTTTTTCTTCCGCGTCACTCATCGTCAGTTTCGAAGCTCATCACCCCTATAATGTGAATAAATGGGAAAGGGCTGGGCGTTTACCCTCACCAAGGAAAACTCTGGCCACAGCAAAGACATCTTTTTATGACATGCACCATGAAGCAGCCTTATTGTGTAAGCCAGAACGATCGGGATTCATTCATTGTACCTGAACCATTCCAATTCAATGTATGTGCATAATCACCCGTTATGAAGCACCGTTTGTCATGATAGACGCTATATACGGCGCGTTTGGCACCAATCTGCATGTTTTGTCAAGCTAAAAGGGGTAGCGTGAACCTCTGTCTAGTGAAATTGTCGTTGGCTGTTTGTACTGTTTCTGTTGCTTTTTGTGCTGTCCATTGCGTTCATTGCTGCAAGAAGCCACTGCTCCATTCAATAACTTGACTTAAAAGTATGTACAATAATTGCATTGACTGCAGAAACGGTATTGTTTTCATGACCGTAATGCTTGAATAAACGTTTGCACGTTGCTTGGAAAGCCAATAAAAATCTTCAGATCCGGTCCTAGATAAATTCCCATGGTCACCACTTTTCTGCGCACATCAATTTTCCTACAGTTTGACTACTGTTTCAACCAAACCACAAGTACGATCGTACGTATTGTTTGTTGTTCTTTCATTTTTAGAACAACAGGGGCTGTACTTAACCAATTTTTCTTAGTTCACAGGCCGGAAATTCTGATAGGGTCACCTCTAAGTGTAAATGGTCACTATTTGGATGGAGATGTGCAGTGAAAGATATTTAACGTACAAATAAAGAAAAACACGAACCTAGATTAAATTCTCATATTGACCTGCTTAATAAATAAAGCTATCCTCTCGATAGTAAAACCCGAGCCGTGTCGTTCAAATGCTTTTTGCTGCAGGCATTGTATGCAACGTAAGTTGCCTGGGAAATAACCGAGATTTCCACCATAAGTCCCGTGACGGGTTTCAATATTCGAGGCGTGTTATTAACGTGTGAAGAACGCTTCTTTCCTTTTCTTCACACATAGGTCTCGTTAGCCCATGAAAGCTATATTACCGCGCAATTTTCGCGTTACTATAAGTAGTTGCATAACATAGGTATATAGTGTATAATAGTCGAACGACTCTGAGTAGAACGACTGTCATTAATCGCGGTGGCTACGATAAAAGATTTTAAAATAAAACCAGTCGCAGACAGTCTGTTGTTTTTACAGACTAGTTATTAGGTGCTTGTAATTTTTTTGTGTGTGGAAGTGCGGTGATGAAGAAAAAAGTCGCAGCTTTGCCGCAAAGGCGAAGCAATGAACCTAATAGCAACAAATTGGAAGGTCACGTGCAAAATTAAAAGCAGATCAAGACGAGCCCCGCGTTTTTTTGAGCAGAAATGATGCACGGAACATACTCAGTCGTTATACTTCACTGTGTCTGAAAAGCTTTTCGATAACGGAGATTGCAATGATTGCACTGACATTTGTGCACCAGTTAACTACAACCGAATCATTCCAGGTAAAGACGGAGGCCAGCCAAGACGTACGATCCTCCCCACAGCTAGATAAGGGCGCGCGAGGGAGCGTCACTCCCCTTCTCTAAGCGGGGTAAAGTACGCGTGGGAGATCAGAGTACGTGCCGCCGCGCGATGTGGCGACGCGCGCTTATTGCACCATCTGGCTGGCAGTGCTGGAAACGAAATTCCCTCCGAGATGGCCGTCAGCAGCGGTAAGTGGTAGATATAATTAGCGTACCGTTTGAACGTTGAAGGACGTGCTCTTCGGTGGCGCAGTGGTTAACGCCTTGCACTCACGAATAACAGGATCCAAGTTCAATTCCACAGACTGGAGCCTTTTTCCGGTTTCTTTTTCTTTCTTAGATTTTTCACACACACACACACACACACACACACACACACACACACACACATATATATATATATATATATATATATATATATATATATATATATATATTATAAAAGATTTATTAAGCAGAAAGGTTGGTGCTTGGAAGGCTTGGAAGGCAATGCACCAGCCGCAATTTCCGAGCTCGAGCCGCTGCTGCACACTCGATCTGCTGCCTCTGCGCCGAAATACTTCCTCTTCTTTACAATGGCCCCACGGAGAAAAAAAAAGGAGCCATCCTGGCGACTTAGTCCTGGGCAGGCGGCGTTGAACCGTGGTATTGCTTGAGCCTCTGGACGTGTACAACCTCGCGGTCTCGACGTCGCAAGTCTGATGGTGGCGTAAGAGGCTCAATGAGGTAATTTACTGGCGAAGTTTGTTCGACAATACGATATGGCCCATCGTACTTTGGCAGAAGTTTGGAAGAGAGCCCTGGTGTGCGATGCGGCACTGACAACCATACAAGTGAACCCCGGAAGAAAAACGGGAGTTGAGGTCTGGGCATCATGAATTGCTTTTTGCCTGTTTTGGTCATCGCAGGTAAAGCGACGAGCTAACTGGCGGCATTCTTCTGCGTGTCTGGCGGCGTCCAAGATCGGTAGGCACTCGGACGCGTCTGGTCGATAGGGCAAAATGGTGTCAATGGTGTGGGAGGGGTGACGGCCGTAGAGGAGGTAAAAAGGGGAGAAGCCTGTTGTCGCTTGCGTTGCCGTATTATAGGCGTATGTAATGAATGGGAGAACTAAGTCCCAGTTAGAGTGGTCAGGCGTCACATACATAGATAGCATGTTACCGAGAGTACGATTAAAGCGCTCGGTAGCCCCATTGGTTTGTGGGTGGTAAGCGGTACATGTGCGATGTACAATAGCACACTCAGCGAGCAATTTTTCAATGACCTCGGACAAGAAGGCGCGGCCGCGGTCACTGAGGAGTTCTTGAGGGCCTCCATGACGCAACAAAAATGACGCAGTAGGAAAGTGGCAACCTCCTGTGCTGTAGCCGTTTTAAGAGCAGCGGTCTCAGCATAGCGCGTTAGGTGGTCGATAGCAACTATTATCCACCTGTTGCCAGTCGGAGTCAATGGAAGTGGCCCATAAATATCTATTCCAACCCGTTCGAAGGGTCGGGAAGGGCATGGTAAAGGCTGCAGTTCCCCGGCGGAGGCGTGTGGTGGAGATTTTCGGCGCTGACATTCGGCACAAGAGCGGACGAAGTTGCGAACGAAGGTATACATGCCACGCCAGTAGTAGCGATGTCGAAGCCTTTCGTAGGTCTTGAAGACTCCTGCGTGGCCACATTGTGGGTCAGCGTGAAAAGAGGAACAAATCTGCGACCTCAGGGTTCGTGGAACGACGAGCAGCCACTTTCGTCCCCCTGGTGCGTAGTTGCGTCGATAGAGAAGCGTGTCACGTATCGAGAAGTGTGGAACTTGGCGCCGAAGCGTTCGCGTCTTTGGGAGTTCAGAAGTGTCGGAGAGATGATTGAGGAGAGACGCAGTCCACGGGTCATTGCGTTGTTCGATAGCAATGGTGTCAAAGTCAAGTGATGACAATGTGGAATCGCAAGCGGAGTCAGCTGTGGCATTCTGGGGCAGGGGGGAACGGGAAAGGGCGTCGGCGTCAGCATGCTTCCGTCCTGACCGATAAACCACGCGTATGTCGTAATCTTGGATTTTCAACGCCCAACGAGCGAGGCGGCCAGATGGGTCTTTTAACGTCGAAAGCCAGCACAGCGCGTGGTGGTCGGTCACGACTACAAAAGAACGACCATGTAGATATGGGCGAAACTTTCCAAGGGCCCACACAATGGCCAAGCACTCCCTTTTCTGTGACGCTGGAGTTGCTCTCAGCCTTGGTAAGTGTGCGACTAGCGTATGCCACGACGTATTTCCGATGTTCCGGTTTACGCTGTGCGAGCACAGCACCCAGGCCTACACCACTGGCGTCGGTGTGGATTTCAGTTGGAGCTTCAGGATCGAAATGGCGTAGAATGGGTGGCGTCGTAAGAAGCCGTCGCAGGGTGGTGAAAGCCTCGTCGCAGGCAGGGGACCACGATAAGAGGTCTTTACAGCTGCTGAGAAGTTGCGTGAGAGGTGATATGATAGACGCGAAGTTTCGGACGAATCGCCGGAAATACGAACACAAGCCGATGAAACTTCGAAGTTCTTTGATGGTGGCAGGTTTAGGAAACGCCGTAACAGCTCGCAATTTCTCGGGATCCGGGAGGATGCCTTCCTTGGAAACAACGTGGCCCAAAATGTTCAATTGACGCATGGCAAATCGACATTTTTTGAGGTTTAATTGCAAACCGGCGTTAGTTAAGCAAGTAAGGACGTGCTGAAGGCGACGTAAGTGTGTGTCAAAGTTAGGGGCGAAGACCACGATATCATCGAGGTAACACAAGCATATCTCTTCTTTACAATATATATATATATATGTATATATATATGTATATATATATATATATATATATATATATATATATATATATATATATATATATATATATATATATATATATATATGGTGAGTGATGTCGACGCCGACGCCGGTGGCAAAATCCAGCCGAGAGTGTCCATATAATTGCTTTTGCAACAATAAAAATCGAATGGGGGTGGGTCATTTTTAAGGAACAGCCGCAAAGGTAAGAAAAGGGGGTGTAGAGTGCACAATAACTATCTCTCCTGTGAGGAAACGTCAACCGATACACTCGCGAAGGAACGGGGACTGAAGGGAAAGTGAGAGTGAGGAAGAAAAATTAAGGTAAAAAAAGACATGCGAGGATAGAGAAAAAAAAAACGAGGTAAAAAAAAAGGGGTCGGGGGCATGAGTCAAGAAAGGAAGGGCAAAACTGGCATCACGCGAGGAAAAGCGCAGTGATGCTCACAGTTTTATAAACATTACACATGTACTCGACTAGTGGCTAAGGTACTCGGCTGCTGATCCGCAGGTCACGGGATCAAATCCCGGCTGTGGCGGCTGCATTGTTGTAGGCCTGTGCACTCAGATTTGGGTTCACGTTAAAAAAACCCCAGGTGGTCAAAATTTCCGGAGCCCTCCACTACGGCGTCTCTCATAAACATATGGTGGTTTAGGGACGTTAAACCCCATATCAATCAATCCTGCCATTGTCTCGTCTTCGTTCCTATAGTGCCGTTTTTCGAGCTCACTATAGTATAAGCCCCGCCGCGGTGGTCTAGTGGCTAAGAAACTCGGCTGCTGACCCGCAGGGCGCGGGTTCGAATCCCGGCTGCGGCGGCTGCATTTCCGATGGAGGCGGAAATGTTGTAGGCCCACAAATCTGTTGTTAAACCCCAAATGTTGTTAAACCCCACAAATCAATCAATTACATATGTACTCCTATATTTTTTCGGCTGCTTTTGGCACTAATGACGGAGAAGCCAACGTTCCAGGGGAACATTCGACTTGGAAAGATCGCTTAGTAGGGTCATCGCTGCAAAGTGCGACGTCAGAAAAAAGTCGAGCTTTATCGTGTGTGATAAGGGCTTAAACTTTTTCGACTGCTTTTGGCATCTAATGCGGGGAAGGCAACATTCCAGGGGAACATTTGACTTAGATAAATCGCTTAGCAGTGCCATCACTGCAAGCTGTGACGTCAGAAAAAAAGTTGAGCCTTATCGTGTGTGATAAGGGCTTAAACTTTTTCGACTGCTTTTGGCATCTAATGCGGGGAAGGCAACATTCCAGGGGAACATTTGACTTAGATAAATCGCTTAGCAGTGCCATCACTGCAAGCTGTGACGTCAGAAAAAAGTTGAGCGTTATCGTGTATGATAAGGGCCTAAACTTTTTCCACTGCTTTTGAGCTTTGCTTGTGGGAAAGCCAACGTTACAGGGGAACTTTTAAGTCGGAAAGATCGCTTAGTAGGGCCAAGCTGCAAGGTGTGACGTAAGAAAAAGTTGAGCCTTATCGTGTGTGATAAGGTCCTAAACTTTTTCGACTGCTTTTGAGCATTGATTGCAGGGAAGCTATTGTTCCAGGGGAACATTTAACAGGGGAATATTGCTTAATACGGCCATAAATGCAAGGTGTGACGTCAGACAAAGTTTAGCCTTATCGTGTGTGATAAGGTCCTAAAATTTTTCGTCTGCTTTTGAGTATTGATTGCGGGGAAGCCAACGTTACAGGGGATCTTTAAGTGGGAAAGATCGCTTAGTAGGGCCAAGGTGCAAGGTGTGAGGTCAGAAAAAGTTGAGCCTTATCATGTGTGATAAGGGCCTCAACTTTTTCGGCTGCTTTTGGGTATCCATTGCGGAAAAGCCAATGTACCAGTCAACATTTTGCTCGGAAAGAATGCATAGCGGACCCATCGCTTCGAGCACGCACTCAATTGTCATCACCATGGAGCTCGAAGAACAAATGGAACAATCTAGACTTTCTCTTGGTGCGAGAGCGCACTCAGTATGCTAAACATGTAGAATCGCGCAAAGCTACGACCACAGCATACCACAGCATTGTCCTCTGAATGAACTAAATATTCACCATGGTGGCATGACCCTTTCGAACTTACGTCCATATGCTCAGAAGCGGAGCATCCTGTCTCCTGTACAAATACGGCTGTCTGCAGGAGGTGAGTTCATTCGAAGGGTATGATTGTTTGGTATTGTGGATGCTAACAGGTTATAAGGAAATTACTTTTAAATGCTCAAGCTTTTCTATGCTGAATCAATGACACAGCTCTTATGATCCGCCTTGGTGGCGTTGACAGTCAAAACTACGCTATTTGCTCCGAAGGCGAGCATCTTAAGCGTTAAGCAATACAACAACACTTGCAGAGCGGGAATGCATCTGAGCCACATAATGCACTTTACCACACTGTACTGCTCTGTTGGCACTGTACCACCAATATTGGGCTGCAATGCATTCAAATCATACGAATGCGTCCTATGGACGAAGAAAAAAAAATGACGTCCTCGTAGCGCCGGGTTTCAAACGTAGTCACTCAGGCTCGTAAAGTGAGGGCCTTAACCACTAAGCTAAGCACCTAAGTTTGGTATACTCGAAAGGCATCCAGACCATATATGAATGTGTACGTCTTACCAATGACGTCATTGCAGCAACAGAATTGGAACATTGCCCGTCACGCCCCAAAAGCGAGCACCTAAACTTGTGAGCTAAGCACCAAAATGCGCCAAGTGAGCGGCGCAGTTTAGAACTGTGCCGATTGCGGCTTGATGGAAACATGGTCCGACCTATTGTGCGAGGGTCATGCTCGAGGTGATGCGCTGAAGCGGCTCCTCACGAGGCACCATCTTGTCGGACTTCCACGTGTGACCCTGCACAAACATCCTACCTCCCACCGGCTACGAGGACCATCGCCGCTCTGCCCTTGCGGTCCTACTCTGCATTCTTGAGGACGTCACCATGACCAAGCAACTTTTACAAGCCGCTCGCCACGCTGCATCGTTTGCTTCTCCTTCCATCAGGTGCTTTTTTCTCCCCTTCATTTATGCCCCCTCCCATTTTATTAACTCGTTTATTTTCTCACTCTCCTCTCATATATCTTTTCTTTTGTACCTTATACTTTCCTTTTTTCTCCACTATCACTGCCCCTTCAGTCCCCGTTCCCCCGCGAGTGTATTGCTTGTGGTTTCCACGCACGAGATAGTTATCGTGAGTTCCACACACCGTTTTCTCACCTTTCCTCCACTCTTCCTGAAGAATTAACCCCCCCCCCCCCCCCCATGTTTTCTTTCTTTTTTCTCGTTATCGCCACTTTGCACACACGGAAATTCAACAAGCGCTTAATCACTAGCCTGTAATAACACCACCCCGTCTGCGACTGGTTTCACTTAAAATGCTTCAGTGTAGCCAACACGTAATTATAACACACATTCGGGTCGTTCTTCTCTATTATACATAATGCATATGATGCCACTAAAAAAATTCATCTAACCTAAGGTAACAACAGACCTGCTAAACGATGGCGGATAAATTGTTAGAAAAACTGGCCACCTTATTTACGAAGTGTCTCTTGGTGGTCTTCCAGGATATTGGTACGCTTCCCGTCAACATCATCTTACTCGATAAGGAAGGAGACGTAAACTACTTGAAAAATTAGACCGATCAGCTTACTGTCCCTTCTCTACCAACTACTTATAAAAATATTAGCTAACAGAATTAAGGTGACATTGGAGTTCAATCAACCAAAGGTCACTTCTTATAGTAATGCGAAAGTTGCGAACTAAAATAGCTTCCCTAAGATAACGACAGCTGTCTGCCGGGAAAAGGGAAGAAGCGTTCTTCATGACTTTATTAACACACCACGAAGATTTAAACCCGTCGCGGGACCTATGGTGGATAAAGTACCCAATGCCATTTTTTCCCTAGTAAGCTGACGATGCATACGATGTCTGCAGTAGAAGCAGTTTAACGACATGACTCGGGTCTTACCTCTAGAGAGGATAGCTTTATTAAGCAGGTGAATATCCTTATAAAATATGTTTGCTCTGCCTGTGCAAAGTCATATCTAGCAATGTACATTTTCATCAATCGTAGTGACCATTTACACTTATATGTGAATTGATCAGAACTGCTTGTCTCTAAACTTAGAGAAAAAAAATTACATTAGTACCCCCTCCCCCCAAAACCATGCTGAAAATATTAGAACAAAAAATACGTACCATTGTGCTTGTACTTTTGGTTGAAACTGTAGTCAAAGTGTAGGAAAGTCTATATGCACAGGAAAGCGCCGAACATAGTGATTTACCAAGGACAGGGCTCAGAACATTTTGATTGGCTTTTCAATAAATGTTCGAACGTCTATTCGAGCACTATGGTCATAAAAAGACTATCAGCTACTACAGTCAACGCAATTATTGTGTAATTTAAATTACTGAATGTAACAGTGGCATATTTGCAGCTATTAACGTGATAAACAGTACGAAAAAGTAACACGAACTGTGCAAACAGCCGACAACAATATCATTGGACAAAGGTTCACACTGCCTCACCTCGACAAAACATGGAGATTGATGCAAGACGCAGCATGGCGTCTAGATGACAACAAATTTCGTAAGATTGGATGGTTACCAAAAACTTGCCTTCTGTATAGTTTAGATATTACTGCCATGTTTATATTTCACGCACAGTTCCTGTACGTTTATGTAAAAACTACACAGCACGAGTGACACAGCACTTCGAAGTGGGTGATTATGCACATACATTGAAATGGAATGATTCAGGTACAATGAATAATTCACTAGCGTGGTGTCTTGCATCACAAAGCAGCTTTATTGTGAATGTCATCAAAAGATGCCTTTGCCAAGACCAAAGTGTTTGGCTGGTCAGCGTAAACGCCGAACAAGACCTAAAAAACTAATTTTTCAAAACAATTTTTCGATTTACCACTGAGTCGACAATGGGTTGTGGCCGTCATCAGGTACACCACACGTAAGAAAACAACATCGTGGAACAAACTGTAGTAAAGAGCGAGTCCAATCCATTCAGAACGCAACAAGACCAGAAATAAAGTTAACCTTCCAAATGGAATGTTAATTGTGAGCAAACGAAAGCTTGCGCGAACATGCGTGCACGTAGTCCCACCTCCTAACTCTACGAAAGCACAAAATGTAAATAAATATGCTTATCCTACCCACCAAACATTTACAAATGACGTGACAGTTTTTTAATGTTTACTCTTGGGCTCCCTTGCAACGGCTAGATGTACCATACTTTGGCTGGGAGAATATAGGGCGACTTGCTCCTCTAGATTATCTACATCATTTCCTACTCATGCTACAAAAAATACCACACAAGATTCGGTAAAGCCTTTAGCGAACGCGACTGCAGTCTTTCCGGAGAACACCCACACGCTGCGAAGACAGTGCAGGAACCTCCAACAAAGGCTTGGAAGCGTACGAAGAATTGACCGGCCGGGAGTGTACGGTAGAACGAGCAGTCGTCGCTTTTGGGGCAATGTCATGGACGTTACCGATGTCAAGAGTGGGCTGGACCAATCTTCTGCGGCGCCTCACAAGCGAGAACACAGGTGGAGATCCTGAAACGACACGTGAGACGAGAGTTAGTATACTTCAAGTTATCTGAAAGCAGTTTATCTTTACAAAATCTGCGTTTGATGCGAAAAAAAAAGTTAAACAAAAGTGCCCCTGCAGCACATATTTCTGCAAGCGGACTCGTCTTTGTCAGGAAGGACAACAGGAAAAAACAGATCGACTGCATGAAACGTTCCCAAAAGGGATATATAATATCTGGTTAACACATCGGTCTTCCTGTTCTCTCTCCCTTCACCGACATAGAGAGTTGCCAGTTGCCGTCAAATTAAGTACATTTAGGCTTCTTTCTTCTCTCTAGTTGTTTGTACAATTTTAGTTGCCTGACACGTCTTTTCGAGCTTATTCGCCCTTTTCCTGCGAATAGTTATCTATCTGTAAAATTCGCTTATAGCAAGCTTGTAGTTCACTGATAAGATTGTAGTTCACTGATGGTGATCTCGTAGATTACTGTCGAGTTGTGCATTGGGATTGGCATACGTTGGGAGCCCTCGCGTAGCTGGGGAAAGGGCAGAATAAGGCTACAAGGTTTTAGTTCCTAACGACTTTATATATAAAGAAAGCTGGTTAGGTTAACATTACCTACATATTTTGCTCACACTGCGATATTTAGCAAGTGAAGTTAAAGGATATCGTGCAGCTTGTTTGGACTTAAGGTTCTCTGTAACAAGCAGATACTTTGGCCGCTGTTAGCTCTTGAAAACATGGCTGCCTCGTTTACACACGTACCCGATGACGCCGTGAAACTATATATCCAAAAAAAAAAAAGCTGTAAACAGCCCGTGAGGCTTACGTGGCAAAGTTTATAATCACACACACAAGATCAGAGTATAAGATGGCTTTCTTGTTGCCCTGTCTACGCTGTTCCTTTGATTGCATGTCTTCTGCTATTACGTTATCTAGTGAATAGATAAGCGTTATTATTTAAGAGCTTGGAATAATAGGTTTAAGGAAGCAAGCAACAATAATAAGCAATGCTGACGTGTATGTTTCATATGAACCTTTGTCACTATGAAACTGCTGAAAGAATGAGGCAAAGTGACTAAATTTGTTTTTGTTCAATAAACTCAAGTCTTAATTCAAAATGATATCTGTAAGGCACCGTTGGAGGGTCGCAAGTGCAGTTGGAACAACCCAACAAACGCTGGAAATTTTCCAATTGCCCCGTAAGCATACGAGCTTGTAGTTGTTTTGAATAAAGTTTTATAAAAGCAGATAATCCGTGAAATTGGACTCTATCAACCTCAAGTAATGCGTGTGGGTAAAGCTGAGGGTAACATCACGCACCGCAATAGTCAAAAATAGAGGTACGGTAAAAAATTGAGACTAATTACCTTTCGCAAAGGTAGCTGAAGTGTGGATGACATCATCAGCGAAGGAGGGCGAAGATGCCAAAAGGTTCGGCCATACGACGACTGATGCGCCAGGTAATCTCAGGAACGGAGAGCCTTGGAAGCAGTCTGCAGGAGTCGTCTCCATGTACTTGTCAGGTGTTGCAATGAAATACCACCACGAGGAAGCTGCAAGAAGACGCAGCAGCAATGTTAAGTACATGTAAACAGAGTCGCAGTCAGAGTCATATGAATGAGGCACTTACCAACACAATTTCAAGGGTAGCTGCGATGTGTCGGTTGCCAGGGTGACGCCATCATCGAAGCAGTGGGAAGGTGCCAAAAGGTCCACCCATACGTCAAGTGCTGTTGCAAGTAGTATTAGGAACGGATAGCTTTGGAAGCAGTCTGCAGGAGGCATCTCTGTGTGCTTGTCAGGGGTAGCAATGAAGGACCAACACGAGGAAGCTGCAAGAACATGCCAAAACAATGTTGAGCACATGTAATCACAGCCGTAGTAAAAGTCTTATGAATGTGGCACTTACCAAGACAATTCCAAGGGTCGCTGCGATGTGTCGGTTGCCAGGGTGACGCCATCATCGAAGCAGTGGGAATGTGCCAAAAGGTCCGGCCATACGTCGAGTGGTGTTGCAAGTAATATTAAGAAGGGATAGCTTTGGAAGCAGCCTTGAGGAGGCATCTCTGTGTGCTTGTCAGGGGTAGCAATAAAGGACCAACACGAGGAAGCTGCAAGAACATGCCACAGCAATGGTGAGCACATGTAGGCTCAAGCGTAGTAAGAGTTGTATGAACGTGGCACTTACCAACACAATTTCAAGGTTAGCTGCGATGTGCCGTTTGCCAGGATCACGCCACCAGCGACGCAGTGGGAATGTACCAAAAGGTGCGGCCATACTACGACTGATCTCCCAGGTGATCACCTTGAAGGCAGTCTGCAGCTGGAGTTAGCTCCATGTCCTAGTCACGGGTAGCAATTAAAGCCAGAGACAGTAAAGCTGCAACGAGAAATGGCGAAATTTTCAAGCACATGGAAGTACAAACACGGCGGGAGTTGTCAGTACGTAAAGATAAAGGCATGACGCTTATTGGTCTCTTCTGCTGACTGATGTAACAGAAGTTGAGTACGGAGTAGTGTCCACCGCAACGTTCTCGTGGTCTGGAGCTTGTCTTCGACGCTCAGCTCGTTCGGAAACGAGACGTCCTGCAGCCCGGGGTGTATCTGAATAGATGCAAAGGCCACTTGTTCGGCAACAGAAATGAAAAAAAAAACCTTAGGAACTCATCATATTCATGTGTGCTGCGATGTTCATGGACGTGTGCACAATCAGCGGGACTCGAACAAAGGCCTGGAAGTAATTCTCAAAAGTGCACAGTAAGCACGTCACCATGAATAAAAAGTATACGAGAAACAGAGCTACCGGGAAAAACAGCAATGACAGCGACGACATCGCTCTGAAGGAATCAGTTTTCCAGTGCGGTTACATGAAACGCTGACGATAGAATTCCGTATGCCCTTCGGTTCGGCGAAACCACATTTCGCTCGAGCGCAATTTCGCGCGCGGTCTACTCGACGCGAAATAGTGGTCACTTCACAAGGCCATTCGGAACGGCTTCAGTATGCGTGACGAATCGCAAGAGGACATACGGTGCGCCCCCAACCCGTACTCCATTCTCTTCGATTCTGTCACAAATCTGGGTATGACTGCAACCGTCGGCCACCGAAACTGGGGGCAAAGGTTAGACACCAAAACTGCAATCTCGCCCGCCCGGAACGCCTCTGTCATCCCACTTGCAGTGTCGCGACGACGGATTCACGTGATGGTGCTCGCATATGATTGCCGTAGTCCAACGTGGATGTATAGATGTATATCAGCCCGCAGCGAGAAGGCATCTGAAACGTTCAAGAAGTATACTGTTTAGAAACACGAGTGTAGGAACAGCTGGTCCACTCACCGTGCTATGAGGTTCGCAAGCGTACGCGGACCATCTTCCGGCAAGTCGACCAATGCGGGTGCCGAGTCCGACGAGGTGAGCGAAGCGCGTATCACAGCAATGGGAAACGGTCTGTCCACACACGCTCATAAAGATAAAAGGTTGACCACCACTCACATTGGTGGCAGACGGAAGCGCTGATCTGCAACCTGAAGAAGTTCCGCAGCATTAAAGCTATCGAGCTAACGAGGCTATTCCGTATGCCGTTTGCTTCCTCAGAACCACATTCCATATAAAACCACACGTCACAATATCTTGTACCGCACGCGCACAACGTAATTATGAAATAGTGGTTGAGGCTGCAACGTCATTCGGAACGGGCAAATTTCCCTGACGAATTCGAAAAAGGACGGCTACCAAGCTACCCTTCCACTTGTTAGCTAAGTGCGGGCTAAACCTGAAGCTCTATTCGTCGCCGCACAAGCGACGACCCCACCCGTCCTCTCGAATTCCGTCACGGCGAACACCCGACTCGTGGCCCCAGCCCGCCCAGAAACGATTCGGGCTTAGATTTACGATGCAGCTAACCTCCTTAACTTTTTTGCGTGCGTAACCAAGATGCCTGGCGCGTACCAATTCGATATACTCATCAACTGACAGGCTTTCTAAGCTGCGTACCACCCTCGCAAGCTCGGAGACTCCACATCTTACTTGTTGACCGATGACCAAGCACTCCTTGCAGGAGGGTGGCCCCACTGGTTTTCGGAAAGATGTCCACCGTGAATTCCAAGCTACTTGTCCAGTCGACGCCGATGGTTGGTAAACACGCACAACGAAAAATGAGTCTGCGGCAGGCATGACTTGCGTTTTGTAAGTTCACCGGCTTCAATGGAGCACCATTAGGGTTAGCTGTACGGGAACTTCGTCAACGAGCCCAGGTTCGGCGCATTCACCGAGCGTCGCACGTATTTCAGAAGCTTGCGTGGCTGGCGACATTTGTCGTGCAGGAATAGCTCGAGGGTCGAAACAAATGCCCTTGGCCATTTCATATCCACTCTTGCACATGACGAGCAAAGAACAGTCTTGCTAGCAAGCAGAACACATTGTATGCGGCATTGTCCGAAGGCTTGCCAGGCACGAAGTTTTTACAAACGTTCCCCCCATTTGCAATGTCCAGAAACTGAAACCAGTTCTTCTCGAGTTCGTACACAATACGTAGGGATAAGACGGGCACATCGTAGTCAAGTACAGTGACCGTCAATGCGTGAATACAGCATCAAAATAACAGCAAATCGACGCAGAGCTGAGCAGTAAGGGACAGCAACCATCAAAGTAAAGATAATGAGGCAAAATGGCGGTTCCAGACAGCGGAAAGACGCTCTCCTGCCACAAAAATCATGATACCATGATGGTTCGTGCATGCGTCGATGTGCATGGAAAAGTTTCTTTTTTCGCGCATTGGTCGATCTTCATTACGTCACTGTCGCTGTGCGCCAAGACGCCGTTGTTTCACAGCGATCAGAGTGACTGGCGATGTAGAAAAGAAAATCTAAAGAAAAAAAAAAGTCCCGTCAGCATGCTGCGCCCGAGCATTGAATGTTCGTGAAGCTTTCCTCGTATTCTTCGACAGCAACTGCGTATGGTGGGTGGTGTTGCCTTAGTTTTACCAATGTGAAATAGAAAAATCCGCAAAAGCGCTACATTTACAAGGAATTTTAAAAAATGCACTCTGCGTGTAGCATTATATTTTCTGCACATGCGCACAGAAAGCCTACTTTTGGCTTTCGAGAAAAGGAATAGATTGTTGAATGTATCGCTGCAAGACCGCCGTCAGATTCGCAATGAGCACTGATCAAGAGTGGGGTGATTCCACGAGAGATCGACGTGGGTTCAAAAGTTGATATTTGTCACAAGTCCCGTTAATCAGGGAGGCGCTCGCCGGGCTAATTCCAAGGGCCGAAGTATCGGCCCCCCGAACCGCACCATGAAAGCGTGGCGTGGACAATTTAGAAGTTGTCCTTTTTGGCGCGCCAGCGGACACCGGCTGTGGCCCAAAGAACAAGTCAGAGCCGAGAGTTGATAACAAACAAAATTATATTCTCAATAATGGCAGATCGAAAACAATACACAAGAATGCACACTCCACAATAGTTGCATACAATATGTCACCAATCAAACAACGTACTACACAGTGCAATCAGCCGCACTCGAAACGACGGACACAGACAACAATACGCACTACAATGCAGTCGCATGCATTGAACAACCAAGACACTTAAAGACTAAAGAGATAGAAAACCTATTCAGTCCAAAGTTCTTGGAACAAAAGTCTGGATGATACTCTTTCGAGAATCACTCACTCAAAGTCCAGCGTTGTTGTCGTTCCACTGCCCTCGAAGTTTCTCTTCCAGGAAACCTCACGTCTTCAATAGGCCACATTCCAAGCTTCAAACTTCTTCGCCGGAAACACGTCGGCTTCACACACGCAGCTGTTGCCACGCATCTTCGCTCGATAGCGGTAGACACACGCTCTTGCCTGTAGCTCGAGCCTTCACCCCTTAGGTGGAAATCCTCTTCTTCTCCTGCTTTGTCCCTACGGACAAAACCTTCGCCGCATACACGGCGGAATCCCTACGCGCTCTGGCGCTAACTTCCGTCTTCTCCTGCTCTCTCGTCTCGGCTGCTCGATTAAATACCTTCCGCGCGAGATTCCAGAAGGTTCTCGTCATTTCGTCGGCGCAATACGCAGCGAAGGCTGGGGAGAGGGCGAGACGGTTGGAATGCCCTCCGCGGCGGATGACTCAACTCGGTATGACCACGCCCCTTTCCATCTAGAAAAATCGAGTGCTTGCTCGGCCGCCGTTGTGGGGTGAGGAGGTTCGTCGGCGAAGCCACGCTTCCGCGGGGAGAGGGAGCGTGCCCGGGGAGCTTGTTTTCTTTTTTCTTTTTTTTATCGTTGACTTCGCGGCGTCACTCCGGCGTTTCGTCGCGAGGAGTTGGCGGCGCGCTCTTTTTGAGCGCTCGTTCTGTGACAATATTTTAGATTTCATTGAGTATTTTATATTTCGTGCACCTCTCACTAGGTAGCCCGAAAGTCAACTTCGTTTTATGAATAACGGCATAACTTACGAGAAAAAAATGTCGAACTTCACCAACACGGAGGCACCAATTTCGTCACCTGTCATTTTGGAAAATTGCAGATGCTATAAAAAGTTAAATATTTTTGTGTCAAGGAAAATATTTTTTACCTGAAATGCATGTCTAATGAAGAATGAATTCATAAGGTTTCAAGTTTGTTGACTTTAGGAAAATACCTTTTAAAAATGTCTGATTTTGCGACAGTTTAAAATAAGTTACGTATTTCCCTTTTTTTTCGGAAAGTTGCGCAAGCAGCGTTTTCAAACTTGACACGCTTTAAGGATATAGTGTGTTCATTAGGTACATCAATTATTGCTGCCGTAGGGCAAATGTAAATTTTTATATATTGCCTCAAAGTTC